TTGGCCTAATTGAGCAAAACCACTAGTAGTCTCCATGGGTCAAAATAATTGTATATGCTTACTTATAAAATTAGACACAGAATAATTTACTAACTATAAGTTTTTTTCTTTTAATTGGTAGCACATCACATATTAAATTAACAGCTTTTAGTTTGGAAATTTTAAATTTTCTATACCAGCTTGATTGTTTTGCCACATGTTTTTCTTTTAAATATATTTTGCTTTTGTACAAAATATTGTGTTTAAAAAACAACTGTAAACAGTTTCGTCAGCTGAACGTAATGCATATCACAATTATGAATTACAAGCTGCCTTTTGTTTTCATTTTATATAAATACGTTTTTGGAAAATGCAATAATTGCATTCATTTTTTTATTCCTATGTCTTTTAAAAGATTTAATATATAAAAAATAGTACAATTATTTTAGACCCATATTTAATATTTAAAATATCCAATACCGTTTTTCTAATTGGAATTTTTAATCAAATTAATTTGTAATTCAAAAAAGATATAGTTTTTTTTTTTTAAATTATCGGCATAGAACGAATAATTTCTATAGGCATAATTATATAAATGATATGTTTTTTTTCTAATAAAATATTAATTAAATCACGTGTGACATTTTTTATACTAAATATTATTTTTAAAAAAGTGTAAACATTTTCAAATTCAAATTTAAGTAGGCCTATATGTCGCATTTTTCAAAACGTTGTTATTATGGCAGTAATAGGATGGGGTACTGTTATGATGTTATCGGTGTTTTCATTAGATACACTACAACACATATAAAAACAACATTGAGCTATACTGATTCAAACCTAAACTGATTGGAAAATATTGAAAATTTGAAATAATCAAAATACTGATATCCAATACTTATTTATAAAATTTAGTTAATCAAAGAGAAACGGTACTTATGTAATCTGTTATCTTTACTGAAACGATACTCAAGCTATTGTGTTTACAGACACAGACACGAAGAAGAACAGATTAAGAAACAAACCGGGAGTGATCTCTCCTAAACTTTCTCAAATATTCTAATATAACACTACGGGGGATGGCAACTCGGGACATAGACAATATTTTTAATCCATTTTTAGTTACTTAATTAAACTTTTTTTAATAGAATAGAATCACGTAAAAAATTGCCTTATTATTTTGCAATCTTGTCCGTATGTCTGTGTGTCTGTCTGTGTGTGTTTGTCTGTCTGTGTGTAAACACGATAACTTGAGTACCGTAACAGCTAGGTTGATGAAATTTCATATATAAGTATTTTATCAAAATCGTAGATCCGCATTAACTTTTGAGCGATTTCCGATAAACGGAAGAGGTACTTTTTCTACTTTGAATTTTTCAAAAGCCTATAACTTAAGTACAATTTCAGATACATACATGAAATTTCACATGTAAGTAAAAGATCTAATTCTCTACCTTCTGTCAAATTTTGAGTAATTTCTGTTGACAGGTAGTACTAATTTACGCTATTTCCGATTTCTCAAAAAACGCATGTAAATTTATAAAGTACTAATAATATTACGCACTATTATGCACATTTTGTTTTGGCGTTCGCTTGGTGCGAAATTTTTTTTTTCTATGAGATTCTTTTCTATTTTTAAAAGATTAAGTAATTAAAAATCCTGTCTATATTCCAAGTTATATGAGAATATTCGAGAAAGTTTAGGGGAGATCACTCCCGGTTTATTTTATTTTTTTACATTCCCATAATTGAAATTGATCCATTAATAATAGACTGAAATTGTGTGTATTTAAGACTGATTCGAAGTTTAACGCACAATTGAAATGTTGACAATTTTATGAAACTTTGATAACTAGATGATTATAAATAAAAATAAATAAAACAGATGAACTTAAATCTAGTATACGAAAAAATGTAACTAATCATTTAAGACTCCAACGAAATTATTCAATTTAAAGTATTTTATAAAAACTATCTTATGTAATGCAAAATTATTTAATGAATTTGAAAGATTTATACAAACAAAATACAATTATTATTGCAGCTTTATTAAAATGTATAGATAACACATTAGCCAGAAAATATGAAGCTTAGACAGAGAAAATTTTTAAAGTATACAAACCAGCAATTTAAGAAAAAGCTGTGCTTTACTGTTAGAAAATTTTAGTGAAGAAAAAATTATTACAAATATATTTTATTATATATTTGTAAATAAAGCGTGTCAATGCCCTTAAACATAAAGTAGAAATTTTACTATTGCGTTTATAATAAGTAACTTCAGATAAATATGAGAATTAAGGAATATTTTAAATTTTACAATTCAGACTGACTTTTCTGAAGACAGCTGTATTCCTTAAAACTTGACTAGAACATAATTTTAACTAGACCAATGGCAAACACTGTTCCCATTTGTACATAGACCAAATCTGTTTGAGGCGAAAGAAAGAAATGTGTTAATAAAAACGTTACTTGTAATGTCGTATAATTAAATATTATAATTATATATCATTGATGGTTACATTTAAATTGCACATCTAGAAGTATGAATTAAAAACAAAATTTAAATACGGATTGTAAGTCCAAGCCAGAAAAATAATCAACTCATGTGTGCTAGCAGTAAGTGAAACTCAATTCTAGAGTTCAGGTAAATCTTTTTATAATTAAAGTATATACAGGATATTAGCAAATACCTGCACGTAGGTTAGCGTTATCATTCTCGGACGAAGCCCACTCTTTTTTAGTGCGATCGAGATAAAGAGGATTCCAGTCAGCTGGAATATATATATATATATATATATATATATATATATATATATATATATATATATATATATATATATATATATATACATAAATACGTATATATACGTATAGATATACTCATTTATATTTCAATATTTATTTATATTTATGAATACACATGTACTTCCATAATAATAGTTTCACTATTCCGTCATTATGTTACTCTATTTATCTATCAGTCATACAGGAACAATATAGAATATAGAGAAAACACAAGCAAACTAAAATCGTTCACAGTCAAACGAAAAAGCTAACGTAACGTCACATGGAAATAGTTTAAAGCCGGTAAAGTACACACAATAAAACTGACCTCATTAAACCTTGCGTAAATATAAAATTAAAATACTATTGCCCCCCCCCCCCCCAAAAAAAAAAATACACAATAATAATAACGTCATCGATACTTGATAATAAAAAGTCTCTTTCAGGCAATTCTTTGAGTAGAGGCAAAGCCATCCCCCCCCCCTTCTCCGGCAGAACGTCTAAGCCCCCCCCCCCCCCAGCAAAAGAAACAGAGTTTATATAGAGAATATGTACTTTTACCAGTGTCAGCCCCTCCCTTCTCCTCCCCTCCTAAGAATTTAATTCGCACCCCGCAAAATGTATATAGTGCCCCCAAAACTCCCGGAGAAAAAAGTCTGAAAAAACCCCACTACATCCATGATTGAGCTTTAAAGAGTAAAGAGTAAATGTAGCAAACGGTGTTTCTTCCAGACATTTTTCTCCGGGGGGGGGGGCGGACACTTGAAATATTTGGGGGGGGGGGGGCGGACATTGTTAAAAGTATATATTTTCTAAATAAATTTCATTTCGTTCGGGGGGGGGGGGGGGGGGGTAGACTTTCTTCGGGGGGGGGGGGGGGGGGCATGACCCCTCCAAAGAGATGCCTGGAAGAAACTCTAGTAGCAAATGGGTCTATATTATAGAAGTAGTGTCTACCTTTAGTCCGTATGATCTACAATTGCGACCAGTGTTTCTCTCAAGGGGAGGGGGGGGGGGTACTTGACATTTTCAGGGGTGGGGTTGACAAAATTTTCTGGGGAGGGGCGAACATTGGTAAAAGTATATTTTCAATATAAATTCTATTCCGGTAAACGTGCTTGGAGGGGGGGTGGGTTAGAGTCGCCATAAAGAAACTCTAAATGCAACTTTTGTCATGTTTGAGGGGGAAGGTTTATTGGTATGGCTACAACTATATTTAGTATCAATGTGCAGTAACTACGCGTAGATCAAGCTTAAATTGCCGAATCTAGATAAAATTCCGTTTTTAATGACATTTTTTTGTTTCCGATTAATTTTGACGTTGATGTGATTTTAGTTTTGGTTTCGATTTCGGTTTAGAGAAAAAGACAACACTATCAACCTAGCGTCCATTGTATTTCTCCCAAAACTGGCCATTTATCTCGTAAATAATATCAAGATAAAATATCTCATGACAAATTATCTCAACGGACAACTGATCTAACGTTAAAATGATCTCAGGGACGAGGATAACATGACAAATTTTATACAGACAAAATATATCAGATAAATAATATCCTCAGATGATAAGTTGTGAAAGGTTGTGTGATCTGTAGCAAGATGTCATCAGATGAAAGGTTGTGATCTGTAGCAAGATGTCATCAGATGAAAGGTTGTGTGATCTATAGCAAGATGTCATCAGATGAAAGGTTGTGTGATCTGTAGCAAGATGTCATTGGGTGAAAGGTTGTGATCTGTAGCAAGATGTCATTGGGTGAAAGGTTGTGTGATCTGTAGCAAGATGTCATTGGGTGAAAGGTTGTGATCTGTAGCAAGATGTCATTGGGTGAAAGGTTGTGATCTGTAGCAAGATGTCATTGGGTGAAAGATTGTGATCTGTAGCATGATGTCATTGGGTGAAAGGTTGTGTGATCCGTAGCAAGATGACAGCAGATGAAAGGTTGTGATCTGTAGCAAGATGTCATCAGATGAAAGGTTGTGTGATCTATAGCAAGATGTCATCAGATGAAAGGTTGTGTGATCTGTAGCAAGATGTCATTGGGTGAAAGGTTGTGATCTGTAGCAAGATGTCATTGGGTGAAAGGTTGTGTGATCTGTAGCAAGATGTCATTGGGTGAAAGGTTGTGATCTGTAGCAAGATGTCATTGGGTGAAAGGTTGTGTGATCCGTAGCAAGATGACAGCAGATGAAAGGTTGTGATCTGTAGCATGATGTCATCAGATGAAAGGTTGTGTGATCTATAGCAAGATGTCATCAGATGAAAGGTTGTGTGATCTGTAGCAAGATGTCATTGGGTGAAAGGTTGTGATCTGTAGCAAGATGTCATTGGGTGAAAGGTTGTGTGATCTGTAGCAAGATGTCATTGGGTGAAAGGTTGTGATCTGTAGCAAGATGTCATTGGGTGAAAGGTTGTGATCTGTAGCAAGATGTCATTGGGTGAAAAGTTGTGATCTGTAGCAAGATGTCATGAGGTGAAAGTTTTTGATCCTTAGCAAGATGTCATGTGGTGTAAGGTTGTGATCTGTAGCAAGATGTCATTGTGTGAAAGGTTGTGATCTGTAGCAAGATGTCATTGGGTGAAAGGTTGTGATCTGTAGCAAGATGTCATTGGGTGAAAGGTTGTGTGATCCGTAGCAAGATGACAGCAGATGAAAGGTTGTGATCTGTAGCAAGATGTCATTGGGTGAAAGGTTGTGATCTGTAGCAAGATGTCATTGGGTGAAAGGTTGTGATCTGTAGCAAGATGTCATTGGGTGAAAGATTGTGATCTGTAGCAAGATGTCATGAGGTGAAAGGTTGTGTGATCCGTAGCAAGATGACAGCAGATGAAAGGTTGTGATCTGTAACAAGATAACATCAGATGAAAGGTTGTGATCTGTAGCAAGATGTCATTGGGTGAAAGGTTGTGTGATCTGTAGCAAGATGACATTGGGTGAAAGGTTGTGTGATCTGTAGCAAGATGACATTGGGTGAAAGGTTGTGATCTGTAGCAAGATGTCATTGGGTGAAAGATTGTGATCTGTAGCAAGATGTCATCAGATGAAAGGTTGTGATCTGTAGCAAGATGTCATCAGATGAAAGGTTGTGATCTGTAGCAAGATGTCATCAGATGAAAGGTTGTGATCTGTAGCAAGATGTCATTGGGTGAAAGGTTGTGATCTGTAGCAAGATGTCATTGGGTGAAAGATTGTGATCTGTAGCAAGATGTCATCAGATGAAAGGTTGTGATCTGTAGCAAGATGTCATGAGGTGAAAGGTTGTGATCCGTAGCAAGATGTCATGAGGTGAAAGTTTTTGATCCTTAGCAAGATGTCATTTGGTGTAAGGTTGTGATCTGTAGCAAGATGTCATTGTGTGAAAGGTTGTGATCTGTAGCAAGATGTCATGAGGTGAAAGGTTGTGATCTGTAGCAAGATGTCATTGGGTAAAAGGTTGTGATCTGTAGCAAGATGTCATGAGGTGAAAGGTTGTGATCCGTAGCAAGATGTCATTGGGTGAAAGATTGTGATCTGTAGCAAGATGTCATTGGGTAAAAGGTTGTGATCTGTAGCAAGATGTCATGAGGTGAAAGGTTGTGATCCGTAGCAAGATGACAGCAGATGAAAGGTTGTGATCCGTAGCAAGATGTCATGAGGTGAAAGGTTGTGATCTGTAGCAAGATGTCATCAGATAAAAGGTTGTGATCTGTAGCAAGATGTCATCAGATAAAAGGTTGTGATCTGTAGCAAGATGTCATCAGGTGGAAGGTTTTACGATTTGTATCAAGATGTCATCCGGTTATGTCACGCGGCTATGTTTTTAAACACGCGTATAATAAAATATGAAAGATGTCGTCTAATTTTATTATTTTGCTTTTTCTGGATACAAGTTTGAAATAAAATATAGAATTCATAACGTGTCTTTTCATGTTATTTCGTTAGTATTACTTTGCAGTAATGTTAATTTACAGAACTTCAAACAAGATCTACCACTGGTTGTGAACTAATCGTATTGTACGCCACTAGGATTATTCCGCCTATTGCTGACAAAATATTCTAGCTGTAACATAAACTAACATATTTAAGTCCCTGATGCATGCAAATATTTTTCCTTAACTACCCTAAAATACACGAATACATTAAAAAGGCTTAATACTTATTTTTTTTCCTTTTATTTCCGAACCTTCCCCCTTAAATTTACATTTTCCATGACAAATGATGTCAGGACAAATTGGTCCGAATTATTTTACGACATGATTCCTTTTGTCACTAAGACACTTTGTAGTTGAGATATTTTCTCTAGGATATTTTGTCTGGAATTGTTTGTCCTGTCAAACAATAACAAGCCTTCAACAATAAAAGTTTTAAATAAATTGTGTTGTGATTTACCTGGGCGACTTTTCATGTCAAAGACGTTGCTTGACGCAATTACGTCGTTTTTATAAGTCCTATATGACTCTATAAAAGCAAATCGAAAAAAATGACGTAGCCGATAACCAAGAAATGGATTCACCACAACAGTATATGGCGGACCTCTCTTGCATGAACAATAACCATAACCGGGACAGAACTCTTTTTCCGTACAGACCGACCACGGTGTACACATCTGAAAGAGGTGCGAATATTTGTTACTGAAGACGTGGTGTGGAGGGTGATGGGGATTGATTAAAATAGATAATTTCAACAAAAATATTTTTATGTATTTCGTTTCGGGAGGTGGTGTGGTGGTGAAAGAGGTTCCTGGGGTGGGGGGGGGGGGAGTATTGTCCCTCAGAAACAATGCAACAAAAAAATCTGATTTTCATTTTTGAGCAAAGTTGGGCCAAGGAAAAGCGTGGGAAAAATAAATTGTCACTTTTCATTTTAAATAAGAGAAGCACTTAAACTGTGTTTCCAAAATTGATCAAAAGCAACATTAACGACTTACCCTTTCCCAATTTTCTCGATCTTCATCACATTCAGCAATAGATGTAAGTTCGCACACCTCTACGTGAAGACTGACGCAAGGGGTTATCTCCACGGCAGGGGGTAGAATCTTGTAAGGATGCCAAAAATAGCCATACAAGCTCCCCGTGTAGCGGCAACGGTAATTGATACAGTCCCTTTCCAGGCCCATTAAAACTGCTGCAAACGAAATATTTTCGCACATGATGTCTGTAGAAGTAATATAAACAACAGCATTAGATATACAGAGTTGGGACAAGAATTTATCTGTAAATAAATCAACATAGCAACCACCTTGTGAGCGCAGGCAGGGTAACTCAAAGGGAGATTAGTCGTCTCTAATCAGTGAAAAAAACTAGCGAATCTTCTCTTTAAAGGCAGTTAATCCGCGGTACCCTCGATAGGACTGATGAAAAATTATGTTTTGTAGAATAGAAGAGACAAAAATTTAAACCCGAATTATAGCGTAATATAATATTAATAAACACGCAAAAAGTTAGTACAGTAAAGCACATCAGGAGAGAAATAAACGAATCAACTGAGGCAACAACTTACCAGGAAGAAATAGCAGACAAGCCAACAAGGGCAGCAGCCTCATATTGGACATGTCGATAATTTTGGCCTCTTGGTTGTGTAATCTGCGAACAAAAATATAATCACTTAATTAAATAGGTTTATTTTATCATTATATATTTGCCTTTTGCACTTTTAGAGAGGGAGTTAAACTAAATTAACATAGCTCTGTAATAAAATAAATATGGTTATAAAACATATGACGGTTTGATTGTTGTTGGGTTTTAACTAAAGATTGAATATAATTGATGTTTTTAGTATTTTCAGTAACTACGCAGAATCTATTTTCTTTCAAAAAGCCAAAAACAATTTAATGTTACACATTTATCACGAAATTGAAAACAGAAAAGGCTAAACTTTAAAAATATATCGGCAAAGATTTGAATACAAATTATTGTGAGTTTTATTTAAGTAGGTTTTTCATAATATCTAACACGGAGTTTTGTACAGCAAATAAATGTTTGTCTTACGAAAATGAAAAAACGTTATGAAAAGACGTTATGAAAATAAATAAAAATTTAGCCTTAAACTCCAAAAATTATTATAAAGTTATCTGGATTTGCACTTTCTATAACACTGATTCTAAAAATATTAAATTTCGGTATTATTTTCAGGCTTTAGTGTTTATTTTTTAATAATTTTTACGGTCGTTGTGATTGCAAAATCTTAAAAAAAACACGTTTTTTTTAATGTATGTCAATAATAATGATCGAAAGGTTCTCGTCAAATTGGTATTGTCTATGATGTCAATAGGTCTGAGAACAAACAGGCTCAAACCACGATGCAAATAAAAATCATAGTCAAATTTTTGTTTGGAGTGGCCCTTTGTGAAAGTCTAAATTTTCTATTATTATGCCTAAGGCCTATATAAATTATAAGCGCTATCAGTTCAGTAGAGTTATTTATTGAGGCATTTTTCTCCTCCTCGGCTAGGTTTAGGATTTGGTTTATTGCATTTGTTTGGGATCATGGTTTAAGCTGACGACGGTAGACAGCAGCAGCATCACCGACACGACACTGCTAGTCAACATAGATTTTAGTGTGCTGTATATGATAACCCATTTTTAAAGCATTGTTTTCATTTCCCTTGCTCTAAGCCATTTTTTCAAACGTTTTTTTTTTCAAAACTAGCCAGAACAATGCAGTATTACTATAAAAAAAACATTTTCAGGTTTCGCTTTCTTTTAAGACCAGGACAAAAAATAGTATTAATAGTTTTGACGTTTGGTATTGTCAAAAAATCATTTTTGTCGTGCTAGATCTAAATAGGTCTACCTCCTAAACTATTAAAATGCATTGTATTCTTTTGAGATGTTCATTGAAATACACTAGATCTAGACCTAAATTTTATCGGAACTGGGGTATCCTCACGATAAAGCGTCGGTTAATGTTCCGGAATGGTACATCAGTAGAAAACAATAAAATCATGGCGTAGTTAACACGCGGTTCCGAAAACCACCGGAAATACAGTAAACCATATTTTATTTGGCGCCATATTATTTTTAGTTGATTTTAGTTTAATTTTTAGATAGTGTTTTACTAATTATTTTGTATTTGTAATTATTTTAAGTGTATGTGCTAATTATTGCTGCTACTAAACATTGTTCTAGTCTTTCTTACTACTTTAAACTTTAATAAATCGTATCGTCTTATTTCACTAGGCTTCGATCTAGATCTAAAATCTACTAATTCCAAATCTTCTGCAAGTTGTTTTTTTTCTTAAAAAACACAATTACTACATGCGACTTAAATATTAATATTTAGATTTATAAATTGTTTCTATTTTTCTGTCAATTAAACTTTAAGTTAAAACATTAATCTAATGCAATTGGCTTTATTTATATTTCAAAGGTCAAATAAACTATGGTTTACAGTAACGAATGTTAAAGAAAATCAACAACATTACCGGATAATTTCCGATGCTATATCGTGAGATTACCCTAAACTTGATCAAGACCACAATTCCACACCTAGTCTTGATCTAGTTACAATCGGCTTGATATCGAGAGTGAAGTAAGTTTTTTTTTAATTTAAAATAAATACTTTCAATGCAAACTTTTAACAGTTTGCCATATACGTACATCCCACTGGAACATCAATCTACATTATAAGCTGTTTAATAAATTTTCTTGTTGTTCTAAAGCACAAAGGGGCCAATCTTTCATGCTTTTCATCGGCTACAAAGCTTGATTTCAGCTGAAAATAAGGAAGTAGTGCAAAGTTGTTTGGGAATTTCCTCTAACAACTTGACGCGCATTTTGACAACAATAAGGCATCATCTGTAGATAAGCTTAAGGCAGTAATAAAACTAAAGTTCTCTGTGTGCTGGGCGAGCCCAGGTCTTGTAAGGCCATGGATCACGTCGTAGACTGACGCTGAACTTTTTCTGATTCGCAAGAAAACAGTGTGTTAGTTTTGCTAAATGAACAATACATTAAAAATATGTCTCCGTAGTCTAATTAGACCATTCAATAGATGCGCATCGGAAAATCCAAGCACGTAGCCTGGGCGCATAGCATAGAAGAGTCTTATATTGCCCATGTATCAGGCCCCAAAGGGACAGGACGTTCCGTACAGCTTGGGATCAGCAGTGCCGCAGGAGCTGCCGAAAGGAAACCAGTTGGTAATCGTATCGGCCTAGGACCTCCTCTCCAATTTGATGTCTTCAGCAATATATATTTCATCTTTATCATCTAAATTAAATATTATCTCCTCCAACAACATATATTTCATCTTTATCGTCTAAATTAAATTTTATCTTCTTCAGCAACATATATTTCATCTTTATCGTCTAAATTAAATATTATCTTCTCCGGCAACATATATTTCATCTTTATCATCTAAATTAAATATTATCTTCTCCAGCTACATATATTTCATCTTTATGGTCTAAATTAAATATTATTTTCTCCGGCAACAAATATTTCATCTTTATCGTCTAAATTAAATATTATCTTTTCCAGCAATAAATATTTCATCTTTATCGTCTAAATTAAATATTATCTTCTTCGGCAACATATATTTCATCTTTATCGTCTAAATTAAATATTATCTTTTCCAGCTACATATATTTCATCTTTATCGTCTAAATTAAATATTATCTTTTCCAGCTACATATATTTCATCTTTATCGTCTAAATTAAATATTATCTTCTCTAGCATCATATATTTCATCTTTATCATCTAAATTAAATATTATTTCTCCAGCAACATATATTACTAAAAAACAGATTACAGAGACAAAACTTTAAACATACAGCATACCTGTTCAAAAATAAAAATCAAGTATGCCTTTAAAAAACTTTAACACCAATTATTCAATTGCAATGAAAGAATATTTAATGCATTAGAAACATTGATTCAAACGAAATTCGATTGTTGAATGCGACTTTATTATAATTTATTGATAAAAATAACCACCCCAAAAATTAGAGATTCAAACAGTGTAAATTTAGGAAACATCAGATTAATCAGTTTTAAAAAATACTTGGCTTAATGGTTAAAAATGATTGAATAATTATTTGAATAATTATTTAACATATAGTTTAAATAATTTTTTTATAAACTGTTTCTGTTTTAAAACGTAAAGCCAAACATCACGAATATGTGTATAACAATGAACATATCAAGTGAGAATTAACGATATTTTAAATTTTACAATGCCGGCTGCGCTATTCTTCCCACAACTTTCAATGTTTCTTAGAACTTGACTAAAGCATACGTGTAGCTAGACCAATGGCAAATACAGTTCCCATGTGTACACACATTGAATCTGTTAGAGAGAAAAAAAACATTTGATGTTATCGATTATGTCTCTTGTATTGCCGTATATCATTAATAGTACCATTTTAGTTGGGGAAAGTAAAGTCGGCTAGGCACAGTGCTGACTACACCCTTCCATTATATGCCGAGGTTAAGAAACGTATGAACTCAACTCAGTGTGGTCACTAGTTCGGGTGTCACCCACACGTGTGTGTGTGTATCCATCATTTTTTCAAGGTACTGGGTGACACCCGAACTAGTGACCACACTGAGTTGAGTTCATACGTTTCTTAACCTCGGCATATAATGGAAGGGTGTAGTCAGCACTGTGCCTAGCCGACTTTAGAAGCATTTTCAGCTGCATATCTTAAAATTTGAATAAAAAACTAAATTTAAACACGAATTGTGAGTCCAATCCGGTAAACGAATTGACTGCCTCATGTCTGCAAGCTGGAACTGAATCTCATTTTTAGGTTGCTAGAGTGCGTTTCAATCTGTTTTATAATTCAAGTATTTACAGGCATAGAAAATACCTGCACGTAGATGATGGATACTATTCTTCGAAAGAACTTTCATTCCGTCGAGGTGGATAGGATTCCAATCAGCTGTCAATATATGTATATATATATATATATATATATATATATATATATATATATATATATATATATATATATATATATATAAAGCAGCATTTGAATTCAACAGTCACCATATAACAAGAAGTTTTTATCAATTATCTTAATCCCAGGAATTTCAAATGTAACTAAAGTCGGTTTGTATGAAATCGCTAACAAATACAAAACGAAACACAACAAATACAACACTAAACACAACAAACACAACACAAAATAAAAAACAAAGCAAAAATTACACTAAATGCAAATGCAACCTCTTTTTTATCTTTTGATTTTTTTAAATGTAAATTTACATATAACTTTACTGTCAAAATGTAAGAGTGAAAAGACTTCCCCTTAGGTGAAATATTCACTTTGATTTCTACAGATATGTGTGGGCCACACACGTCATTTTGTCTTTTGAATTTGGTTAGAAGTATTTGGTATCTTTTGTACTGATATATTTTGTACTGATTAATTATGTCTAGGATATTTTGTTTAGGATTTTTTGTGAAGTATATTTTGTCTCAGATATTTTGTCAAGCATATTTTGACTAGGATATTTTGTCTAGGATATTTTGTCTAGGATATTTTGTCTAGGATATTTTGTCTAGGATATTTTGTCTGAGACCACCTCTACTCTCACTAACCCCCTACCATCCTCCAACAAAAATAGTTTTAAATAAAGTGAATTGTGATTTACCTGGGCGAGTCTGCAGGTCAAAGATGTTGCTTGACGCTATTATTTGGACAGTATTAGATCGATTAGACAGGAAAACCAATCGATAAAAATATCCTTGCAGTCGATCTCTAATAAATGGATTCACCACAAAAGTGTATAGAAGACCTTTCTTGCACGAACAATAAAATCTTTCTGGGCAGAACTCTTCTTTTTGACAGACGGACCACATTATGCACATCTGAAAGAGATGCCAATCTTTGTTACTGACGATGTAATGTGCAAATGTGTCAAACATTACTATACACATTTCAAACAACATTTTAAACAAATATTCTACGTTCAAAATACAATAACACAAGTTGTAAATGTGGTCGTTTCATTAATTGATTTGTAACTGAGCCAGTTAAATTGATCTTATATTCAATTCAGTACACACTTGTTCTTCATTTTAAATCTAACTCTAATTGCGTCAGTTTAATAAGTCTCTTATCCTTATTCCTAAACCTGGTCCCTAATCCTAACCCTTGTCCCTAATCCCGGTCCCTAACCCTGGTCCCTAATCCTAACCCTGGTCACTAACCCTAGTCCATAACCCTAACCCTGGTACATAATCCTAACCCAGGTCCATAACCCTAACCCTGGTCCATAACCCTAACCCTGGTCCCTAACACTAATCCCTAACTCTATCCCTGGCCAATAATCCTAACCCTAGTCCTTAACCCTAACCCTGGTCCCTAGCCTTACCCTGGTCCATAACCCTAGTCTATAACACTAACCCTGGTCACTAAACGTAATCCTGGTACATATTCCTAACCCTGGTCCATAACCCTAATCCTGGTCCATAATCCTAACACTAATCCCTAACTCTAACCCTGGTCCCTAACCCTAACCCTGGTTCCTAATCCTAACCCTTGTCTATAACCCTAACACTAGTCCCAAACCCTAACCCTGGTCCATAACCCTAACCCTGGTCCCTACCCTAACCCTGGTCCATAATCCTAACACTAATCCCTAACTCTAACCCTGGTCCCTAATCCTAGCCCTTGTCCATAACCCTAACACTGGTCCCTAACCCTAATCCTGGTACATAATCCTAACCCTGGTCCATAACCATAATCCTAACCCAGGTCCCTAACCCTAATCCCTAACCCTAACACTAATCCCTAACTCTAACCCTGGTCCCTAACCCTAATCCTGGTCCATAACCCTAACCCTGATCCCTAACCCTGGTTCCTAATCCTAACCCTTGTCCATAACCCTAACACTAGTCCCAAACCCTAACCCTGGTCCCTAACCCTAGTATATAACACTAACCCTGGTTCCTAACCCTAACCCTGATCCCTAACCCTGGTCCCTAACCCTAATCCTGGTCCATAACCCTAACCCTGATCCCTAACCTGGTCCCTAACCCTAACCCTGGTTCCTAATTCTAACCCTTGTCCATAACCCTAACATTAGTCCCTAACCCTAATCCTAACCCTGGTCCCTAACCCTAACACTAATCCCTAACCCTAACCCTAACCCTGGTCCCTAACTCTAACCCTGGTTCCTAACCCTAACCCTGACCCCTAACCCTAACTCTAGTCCCTAACCCTAACCCTGGTCCATAATCCTAACCCTGGTCCATAATCCTAACCCCACGCACATTTCATGACTTACATATCTCCAATACACTCGGTCTTGATTACATTTAGCAATGGTGTTATGCTGGCAGTACTGAACTTCTAGAGTAACACAGGGTTTTATCTGCACTGCAGGGGGTACCAGCTTGTAAGGATGCCAAAAATGGCCATAGATTCGTCCCGTATAGCGACATGGATACTTTAGAGTGTCCCTTTCCAGGCCCATTATGGCTGCTATAAACGTATCATTGTCACAGAGGATGTCTGTAGAAGCAATGTAAACAAGAGCGTAAGGTATTCAGTGGTAGGGTAATTTTTTTATCTGTAGAGGATTCCACGCAGCAACCACCATAGGAGCGCAGGTTTCGGGTATTTCAAAGAGGGAAAAAAAGTTGAAGTTATTTGTTGTTCAAAGTTAGAATTCTAGTCAGTTGAATGTCTGTGAGTCCACCCAGCTCTGATGTGCCTAACTCACGTTAGGGAAAAGAATTGCAGCTGGGCATACAGCTGATCACACTATCCTTTCGTTTGCCGGGGTCTCTGAAACAGATGAACTATAATTCATCTGTCTAATGTGTCTTGAGTAAGAACGGGAAAAGATGATAATTTTTTAAAGGCTTGTAGATTCTAGTCAGTTGAAAAGAATTAAGTCATCGTTTCTTTAAACAACTGTATTGAATCTGCGATCGGGCAATCAACCACATGGTTGCTAACCCGAAAGTCCCGAGTTCGAACCCTCTGGCAATCGAGTCTCGTCAGTGGGTACAACAACCCATTTAAGAGAGACGGCAGCTCCAGCGATACAACTGATTCCAAGTTGTACAGGTAACGTCCTGTCCCTTGGGTCCATCAGCTGTGTGGAGAGAGGGGGGGGGGGGCATTATGCATGGGCAACATCTGGCTCTTCTCAACTTAACGCCCAAGCTTTGTACTTTAATTTTCAATACAGTCATCAAATGTTCTATTTGCCTGTGGAGCCATATTATTATGTTATTGTTTAATCCGAGGCATTCTCTCACAACTGATTTAAAAAAAAACTCTTTTGTTTTTTGTTGGATGGATGTGATAGAATTTAAACCCGCACATGACAGTGTGGTAATCATATAGTTCGAATTAAAAACGACGACATTATAGCGGATTACAACCTTGATGTACACATGAGAGTTGATGGAAGTACAGTAAAACACATCAGGAGAGAAATAAACGAATCAACTGAGGCAACAACTTACTGGGAAGAAATAGCAGACAAGCCAACAAGGGCAGCAGCCTCATATTGGACATGTCGGTAATTTTGGCCTCTTGGTTGTGCGATCTGCGAACAAAAATATAATCACCTATAGGGGCTTAATGTATCATTATATTACTCGGCGTATGCACTTTTAGAGAGAATATTAACACAATGATGTACATTTTTGTCAAGCGGCGATATAAACCAATTAGACTATACAAAATACATGTATGTATGTATGTCGTATTGCCTCTTCAATCAGCCCTAAATATAATCCTCACAAAATTCTTTAAAGGTCCTATGAATTTCTAGATCTAGTTTTGGGATAAAATACTCAAAAAATTTCATAAAAAACGTTTTAATAACAAGCTTTTATGTAATGATGCACTAAAAAGTAGAAAATAAATTATAGCCTACTATTTAAATAACTATAAAGAAAAGCGTGGGTCACTTTAGTATCTATTGGATACCTTTACTAATGTTAAGGAAGACACCCACGCTTTTCTTTATAGTTATTTAAATAGTAGTCTATAATTTATTTTCTACTTTTTAGTGCATCATTACATAAAAGCTTGTTATTAAAACGTTTTTTATGAAATTTTTTTTCAGTACTTTACATGTTTTATTTACAATAGAGTTACATGACTAAAAACCATTGCGCGCCTACTGAACATCACGTTCAGTAGGCGCGCAATGGTTTTTGAACGCAGCCATTACGTGATGGCGCAGCTATTGAAGGTGATGACGCGTGTGGTGTGGTTGGCTAGACATGCCTACTAATTCGGTCCAAATTTTAATTAATTCATTAAAATCAATTAGGCATCCAATTAAGTCAAATTTAGTTTCAGATTGCATTGTCTTCATGTCTTGACCCACGTGCCAAATGTGAATCGTATCGGTCAAGTAGAACTGTCCGAATTTTCACTCCTGCGTTTCCGTCTGGACTGACGACAGAGGAAGTGAGTTAAATAAAAGCTTGTAAAAATACATGTTTCATGCTGCTAACTTTAGATATTAGCAAAAGAATATTGTTTATGTCCACGAGACGTTTCTCGAAAATAAACTAGGCCTAGTCAGAGTTACTTATGGAGCCCCCCCCCCCCCGAAGAAAGTCTACCGCCCCCCCCCCGCCCCCCCCCTCCCCCCCCCCCCGTACGAAATAGAATTTATATAGAAAATGTATACTTTTTACACTGTCTGCCCCCACCCCCCGAGATTTTAGTCCGCCTTCCCCGCAAAATTTCAAGTGCCCCCCCCCCCCTACCGGAAAAAAAATTCTGGAAGCAACACCCCCCCCCCCCTCGAGAAAAAAGTCTGAAAGAAACACTAGGCCTTGTCTATCTATATATATAATTCTCTTCTGGGAACCGCTAGAAAACAAGCTGTAAACGCGCTCCCTACCGTCCCCACCCCTACATGGTCTGGTGAGCTGTGGTTCACTCTTTATGTTTACAAACATTACAAACACAGCCGGGTTTAGTGACGACTATTAGGGGCAGATAATTTAGTTTGAAACGATTTTAAACGTAGGGGGGGGGGGAGACTAAGTGGAGTTTACTTTAACGGAGGGGTGGGGGTGAAGGAGGGGGGGGGGTTTATCGTCCTTACCCAGCTACTTATAGTGTTTTAAAAAAATATTTTCAGTGGCAGCGTTGGTAGTGTCAAATTCACAAATTTTGAATAACTGAAAAGTAGAAAAAACAACAACTAAATAGCGGCATATGATATGCCGCGGGTCGGCTCGTATAATATAATAGATCTAGATTTAGTCATAAATCTTTTTAGATATCTTGTTGGTATTTCCTTGATACCGAGTGTGAAGGATTTTTATTTAAAATAAAAACCTCAGAAAAACAACTTATCACAGTTTACCACATAAGAAGCACTGCATGCTCAGCCTACATTATTAGTTGTTAAAGAAATGTTCTTGCTAAACTACAGCACAAAAGGACCAATCTTTCGTGTAGTTCATCAGCTACAAAGCTTGTATTAGCGGAGAGTTTTGTGTGAGTGTCAAACTGTTTGGGAATTCCCTCCAAACATTTGACGCGAATTTCTATAACGTGAAGTTTGATTGTCGTCATTCATGAAGGTAGATTTAGCGGCGGGGAGCTGAGCAGGCAGCATCCAGGGGGCCTCCGTTTTTTAGAGACCCCAAATTTCGGCGTTACACGTTTGTTGAATCGGAGAAAACATTATGTTGAGATTGTTCATTAAAGTGGCTATTTCAAATGAATTAGTTAATCCTTTTAGTTATTTTGGAATAAAAGGCATCTTCAAAACTCCACCAAGCCTCCATATCTAGGTCGAGCCAGGTTTTGTCTTAACAGTCTATGTTTGTATGTAAACACTTTTTTTTTATTAAACCCTTACAGTAGACCGTGTGGTGGGATTTTACGGTGACGGGACAAATAATCTCAGACAAAATATTTTAAAACAAATGATATCATGAACAAATTATAATCTTAGACAAAATGTCTCCTACAAAACATAACGACTAAATATGTATATATATATATATAGCTTTTATGATGATTTTAGTCGATTTGAATACTGTAAATTGTTAATCTAATGATTTTCGATTACTTTTACACATAATAATTGTGACAACGTTTTATCGCATATGTTTGTCCTTTTACATTAAGGATTACAACATATTTTTCAGAGACAGGTTACAATATGTGGGTTGCCAAAATGTAACAACCGTGATCTCAGTGTCCTGAGATCATTTGGCCGTGAGATATTTTGTCTGGGGTATTTTATCTGAGATCTTTTGTCGTAGATGGTTTGTCCTGATATTTTTGCCATTTAATCGTGTTTACACTTTGAACAATAGAGAAATCATTTCGGTGGGTTTTAAAATCTGACCATTAGAGAAATCATTTAGATGGGTTTTACACATTGACCAAGAGAGAACACATCCAATGGGTTTTACACATTGACCAAGAGAGAACACATCCAATGGGTTTTACACATTGATCAATAGAGAACACATCCAATGGGTTTTACACATTGACCAAGAGAGAACACATCCAATGGGTTTTACACATTGACCAACAGAGAACACATCCAATGGGTTTTACACATTGACCAACAGAGAACACATCCAATGGGTTTTACACATTGACCAATAGAGAACACATCCAATGGGTTTTACACATTGATCAAAAAGAACACATCTAATGGGTTTTACACATTGACCAAGAGAGAACACATCCAATGAGTTTTACACATTGATCAATAGAGAACACATCCAATGGGTTTTACCCATTGACCAATAGAGAACACATCCAATGGGTTTTACACATTGATCAATAGAGAACACATCCAATGGGTTTTACACATTGATCAATAGAGAACACATCCAATGGGTTTTACACATTGACCAATAGAGAACACATCCAATGGGTTTTACACATTGACCAATACCATTGTCTGCTGGTGTAAACCTTTTTAGCGAGTTTTATAAAAAAAAATTATACTATGATGAATGCATTACTATGACATGAATAAGTATCATAATGCAATCAAACGAATAAATCATTGATCTTTTGCATTAGATTATAAAAATATATTAGTAGCTTTCGTTTGTATCACAATCGCTCAGATCTCAAGATATTCACAACCGACTAGCATATATAGAACCAACAGCCTGTATTTACTCAAGAACACCGCCCCCCCCCCCCCCCCACCACTTGTCAATTCATCCTCACGCCACTGTGTATGTAACTCACAAACTGAAAGGCTAGACTTTATATTTTAGACGCACAAAATGTGCAGTCTAAAATAAGAAGCCCAAACATGACCGAATCAGTAATCTATCACCTTCTTAAAAGTCGAACACCATCAACGCATAGTTTAAAAAAACATAACTGTTTCATACTTTTATGATATATGACGATAGTCACATAACATATATTGTTAACTAAAAAATGTACATATCAGATATTACAATGACTGAAAACAAATATTCGGACTAAATTGGTCCTCTTGAGTGGACCCAACACTTGTTAGTAGGCCCTACATTCACAAAAACAAACGTTTAAGCAGTATAAAATAGAATAATTTTGTAAAAGACAAACCAGTCTATATTTTTTACAAATTTTATTTAACATGTTTCCTCCGTCTGTCGCCAGTCTGGCTATCTATCGTCATAGATCGAAACGCTCGAGAGAAATTTCGGGCACTTCTAAATGACGGATTCGTGTCAAAGTCTTTCAACGACTTTTCTTTATAGTTATTTAAATAGTAGTTTCTTATTATTTATTTAAAGAAAATAATGTACTTTCTTCTTTTTAGTACATAAAAGCATGTTATGAAAACTTTCTTATGATTTTTTAAGCAGTTTAATTGCAGTGTTAGCAAAACACCTGTACAGATGTATTTCAAAATAGTTGAGCAATTAATTATATCCTAATTTAAGGTGACTAATTAAAATAATTAATCCCAAGCTGGCTAATACAGAATTAATTTTCTACAAGGATGTTGCTTTTATTTGCGTATCTAGCAAAATCGTGACAGCATGTTAGTGAAGTCAGGCTTTAAGTTCACCAGGATGTGAGATAGAACAGCCACCACTTGTGTTTGGAGAACAGTACAGTGGTGTCGTTTGGTGGGGAAAGTTGGCCAGGTTTTTAAAAATCTCCATGCTGGTTTAATTTTAATTGTCATAAGGATGAATGATGAATATGTCATACATTTGCTTAAAACCTATAGAATATACAGTTGGTTGAGAATATGTGTTTAGTTACCCGTGGGTCATTAAAATTTACTACACGCCTAAATAAATGTTATCACAACATCTACCTCCACTTATTTATCCAACTACACCACCAATTACAATCATACAGAATTCAATAAACCATAACACCTACTACCACACATCAATCAAACAACCACAACAACTACCACACAAACTACTAATTACCACAACCACATTAACTATCGACAGCTGATGTTTTATTTTAAACCAACTAAGACATTTTAAACGCTCCTGGCTCAAATACTCACCAATCTGTGTGTGTGTGTGTTACTGTGTGTGTAGAGGTGTGTTAAAACACTAACATGTATGTGTGTTCCTGTGTGTGTTTCTGTGTATGTGTTATGTGTATGTGTGTAGACGTGTGTTATAGTGCACTCACCAAAATGTGTGTGTTTCTGTGTGTGTAGACGTGTGTTTGAATGCACTCACCAGCCCACCGATCTCACTCGTTTTAAACATGGCGTCTTCTCTCTTCTCTAACTGACGACATGACGTCACAATAAATGTTCTATTGTTCATTAAGTGTCTGATTAATTAGGCCAGTTCATAAATAGCCTTTACGAAGACACATTGTCGTGAGCGAAACGTTGAATATATATATAAAGTAGAAGAACCAACACACAATTTCATCAACTACATTTTGAATTTTGCTTTACCTATTTAACTGTATAAAATGGATATCTGTCTAATTATTGTACTCCTAGTCGGAGGTAAGATAATAACTTCTAGATTGTCATTAAACATTCGTCTTTGTTCTACAAATTCTAAGAATTATCTACATAAAAATAAAAATCAACATTTTAAAAGCTTATTGTAAGGTATTTTTACATGTGATGTCTACGTAAGCCTATATGTGTTGATATTGTATTTGAGTTGTTTTTTACTTTATATACGAAGTACTAGCCGTCCCGGCCAGGCCCTGCTCTGGCTTCTGTGAAAAACCTTTCTGTTAAAGACCATTACCTGTGTGTTTAGTAATCATCATAAACCCGGTACTGCCCACCCAAACCACAACCAACCAAAACCAAAACAACAAAACGCAAACATAACGCTAACACAATTACAAATACAAACGAAAACAAAAACCTAACAACAAACCCAACCACAAACACCAATACAAACACAAAGAAGTAAACAAACAAAAAAGCAAACAAAAAAACCTAACAACAAACCCAACCACAACCACAAACACCAATATGAACACAAAGAAAAAAACAAACAAAAAAGCAAACGAAACAAGCCAAATCCAATCGCAAAAACCAATCACAAATACAAACACAAACCCAAAGAAAAAAATACAAACGAAAAAGCAAACGAAAACAAACCAAAGCCAAACGCAAAACCAATCACAAACACAAATACAAACACAAACCCAAAGAAAAAAACAAAAACGAAAACGAAAAAAGAACGAACAAAAACAAACCAAATCAAAACGCAACCACTAACGCAAACCCAACCTAAACGACTATAGTACCCAAGTTATTCATAGTCTTTTGCACTCACTTAAACGAACGTAGGTGCCAAACCAAACCAAATGAACAATTATAATACTCCAAGCTTATCCGTAAAATACCTACAACATTTGCACTTGATCAATCCCCGCTAATTATGTAATTATTGTTTTCCCAACACCAAAACAAAGTAATAAAAAGTAAATTCTTTTCCACTAATGCAATGTTTTATAAAGGGAAGTAATTGTGTTTTCCTAATTTATCAAAGGGAAGTAAGTGCTAAAGGACTAAATATAAATAATTTTCAGACATAATTAGAATTTTTGTAAAAGATGATATTTTTTAAAAAATTGTGTTTAATGAACATGCCGACAATTATTACTATTAGTTTGAAAAATGAAAATTATTTCCCAACACTTTCAATAGTAATTTTTTAACTCATAAATTTAGACTATGAGCACGATAATAATCTAACACTTAAATCCATCGAAGTATGTCCACGACAAACAAACTTATCACATGTTACATACATAATTGAGCTTTATATATTAGATAAAGTATTGTAATCGTGCAAAAAAAAACGAGAATTTTCCAAACACGACGTTTTACACCTCACGGATACGGAAAAACATAATTTAGCAATCTTGTCCGTATGTCTGTGTGTATGTCTGTGTGTGTGTCTGTGTATCTGTAAACACGATAACTTGAGTACCGTTACAGTTAGGTTGATGAAATTTCATATATAAGTATTTTATCAAAATCGTAGA